CTAACTGCTCTAAGGCTTCCAATATAATACTGAATAAGAATAGTGAGTTCCAATTCTTAAAGTAAAAGCTTCCAGCTTTTCCTCATTCAGTATAATGTTCACTTGGGTTTATCATCTAAAAAAAGCCTTTATTATATTAAGTAATGATGCTTCTATACATATTCTAGTGATTTAATCATGAACAGATGTCAAATTTTATCTAATGCTTTTTATGTCTTTGAAATAATCTATATGATTTTCATTCTTTACTATGTTTATCAATTTTCATCACTTTATCATGGTGGATGATCTTCTTGATATGCTGTTAGATTCAATCCACTGACATTTTGTTAAAGATTATTATATCTATATACATAGTTATCTTTTTGTTTTGTCCTTGTCTGTTTTTGATATCCGGGTAATGACAGAATGAGTTTGGAAGGGGGTCTCTCCAATTTTTTAGAATACTTTAAAAGAAACTGGTGTTTTTCTACTCTAAGTTCTATAGAAATCAGCAGTTAATCCAGCTGATCCTGGGCTTTGTTGGAAGACTATCACTGATTCAATCTCCCACTTGTTCAGGTTTTCTATGACTTCATGGTTCAATTTTGGTAGGTTGTATATGTCAAGAAATTTATCCATTTCATCAGTTTTTCCAATTTGTAATCCTACAGTTTTTCAAAACATCTAATCATCTGTTTCCTTTTCATATCTGAATTCATCTACATCTCTTCTTTTTATCTTGGTGAGCCTTTATAAAAGTATGTCAACTTAGTTCATCTTTTCAAAAAATACTGTTTCACTGATCATTATTGTTGTTTTCTTAGTATCTATTTTATTTCTGCTGCAATCTTTGTTATTTCTTTCCTTTTACTAATTGAGTTTGGTTTGTTCTTGTTTTTCTAGTTCCTTGAGATTCATGATTAATTTATTTGAAATCTATTTTTTTCATTGAAAGTACTTAATCCTTGTAAACTTCTCTTAGTACTGCTTTTGCTGCATCCTGTACATTTTGGTATTTTTTTCAATACATGTTTTAATTTTCCTTTTGGTTTCATGATGACCCATTTTTCATTCAGCAGTGTATTGTTCAAGGGTGGGCACTGTAGCATGGTGGGTTAAACTGCCACCTGGGACACCTGCAGCCCATCAGAGTGGTTAGGATCAAGTCCTGCCTTTGTTTCCAAAACAGCTTCCTTCTAATGCACCTGGCAAGCAGCAGATAATGGCCCAAATACCTGGTCTCCTGCCACCCACATAGGAGACATGGATGGATTCCTAACTCCTGGCTTTGGCCTTGCCCAATCCTAGCTGTTGTAAACATCTGGGGAACGAATGATGGCACAGATCTTTCTCGTTCTTGTTTTTTTTTTCACTCTGCCTTTGAAATAAATAAGGCTTTTCTTTAAAAGTGTTCAATCTCCATGTACTTATGTAACTCCTAAACTTTCATTATTGACATCTAGTTTTATTCTACTAGGATCAAAGAATTGGTATATTGCAATTTTTTTAACTTGTTAAGACTTATTTTGAGGCAAATGCTCTAGATAATGTTCCATGTGTTGATGAAAAAATGTGTATTTTGCAGTTGCTAGAGGAAATGTTCTGTATATGTCTGTTAGTATACTTTGGTATATAGTACAATTTTATAAAACTAGATGTGCCAGCATTAGATGCATACATATTTACAATTCTTAGGTCTTCTTACTAAATTGATTCCTTGATCATTATATAATGACCTTTTTTGACTCTTTTCACAGTTTTTGTCCTAAAGTCTATCTTATCAGTATAAATACAACTATCCTTGCTTGTTTTTAAGTTTCCATTTGCATGGAAAGAGTAAATAGGAAAGCCTCAGCAGAATCCATCTCCAGGGACAATCCTATATATAGGGGGTGACGAAACCCGGTTATCACAGACTAGGAGCCCAGTAAAGAGGGACTACCTGGAGTACTCACGGAAGCTTTGCTTCAGAGAAGAAACTCGCTCCCCCACCCTACTCCATTCCTAACCACCACCATCCAAAAGGAGTCACTTTTGGAATCCACACTGCCCTGGGGGAAAGAAGCACTTGCACTGGCCTGGAGGCCACAGATTTTCATACCACACTAGCACAAAAGAATGCAGCCTCATAAATCTTAACTAGACCCAGCAGAGCAGTGGTGACCACAGCACCCTAGCCCACACAGCACGCTGTGCAAGGAACAAGGGGTACAGAACAGCAAGGGTTTACTGCCCCAACAACCCAAGAAGTAGGAATGCTTATACCCTTAGACTTGGAGCCCAGCCTTCTACCTTATACCCTTCCCTTTTCTCACTTACTAGAGGCATCACTTGTCTTTGCTATTGCTCTTGAACACAAGGTCTGCTAGTCAGGGATCCCATGACTTGAACCAAAATAGCCTGCCAGCAGCTCTCAGGACTGTGTACTCTGCATGGTATTTCCAGCATCAGTGCTTGTGTGACCCTGGCCCTTTGGGCAATTGCTGGGGAACTGCAGCATTTAGGTGCATGAAACAGCATAATCTGGAGTGAAAAGGCAACCCACCATGGAGAAAACATTTACAAATCATAGCTCTGATAAGGGATTAATATATAATGAATTTCTGCAAATGTACAATGGAACAACCTAGTTAAAAAACCTTCATAGAACTTGAATAGACATTTTTACAAAGAATATATTTAAATGGTCAATAAGCACAAGCAAAGATGTTCAGCAGCACTATCATTACAGAAATGTAAAAATCACACTTCACACCTATAACAATGGATATTTTAAAACAAAGTAACAAGTATTGGTGAGGATGTGAAGAAATCAGAAATCCTATGCACTGTTGATGGGAATGCAAAATGGTACGGCTGCTGTGGAAAATAGTATAGCAATTCCTTAAACAATTAAAAATAAAATAACTATACGATCCAGCAATTCTAGCTCTGGAGAGATACCAAAAAGGGTTAAAAGCAATGACCCACACAGATATGTGTATGCTCATATTCACGGCAATATTATTCTCATCTTGGAAACAACTCAAGTGTCTACAACAGATGAAAGAATTAGCAAAATGTGGTATATTCATTTCATGGAGTATTATTTAGCCTCAGAAAGGGGAAGGAGTATTGTGACACGTTACAACACGAATGAACCTTGACAATACTGTTCTAAATAATATAACCCACAAAAGGACAAATACTCTATGATTCCACCTATAAGAGATCCTAAAGTAGTCAAATTCATGGAGTTGGAAAATACAATGGAATGGAGAATTGCTGTTTCATATGAAGAGTTCTGGATATGAATAGTGGCACTCATTACATAACAATGTGAATACACTTAAAACGACTCACCTGTACAATTTAAAATGGTTAAGACTAAATTTTATGTTTTTTGTGTTCAAAACAACAAAAACACTGAAACCATCAGCCTTGTATTCATTAGAGAAGTGGTAACAGTCATGACCACAAAATATCTGCAGTGAGCATTAGCCAAAAGTATGTACCACTGTATGTTTGGTCTAGTATAACGTCTGGTTTTACAATGAAATACTCCAAGACACCATCTTGATTGGCCCAGACTATCTTCATTATTACAAAACCACGTCAACATTTCTATGATGCCTCCATAAGTAAGATATCTTCTCATCCCTATTTCTTAGTGGCTTACTCACGCTTTCCAGTGCAACTTGCTTGGAAGGGGTAAACTCATTTTACTTAGTATTTTATTTTTAAATAATTTGAAAATTCTATCACATGGAAATCTAAAATAATTTGCATAGAATACAACTAGTTTGTAGAAGAGATAATTTCCTGATGGTCCTAGGATAACAGAAGTGTTTATAATCAGAGTTACTAATTATAAGGGTGTATTATAGTCTTAGGAAAGAAAAGATCTCAAGGCGCTTTCATATATGTTGTGAAAACTGAATATTCCCTTGACTTTAACTGAACTATTTATTAACATTACATATTCATATGAAGTTATAAGAAATAACTAAGAGATCCCTTGTACACTTTGCCCAGTTTCCCCCAGTGGTAACCTTTTTACAAAAGTAAAGTACAGGGGCCAGCACTGTGGCATGGCAGGTAAAGCCTCAGCCTGCAGTGCCGGCATCCCAAATGGGCGCCAGTTCAAGAGCCAGCTGCTGCTCTTCCGATCCAGCTCTCTGCTATGGCTTGAGAAAGTAGCAGAAGATAGCCCAAGTGCTGGGGCCCCTGCACTTGCGTGAGAGACCTGGAAGAAGCTCCTGCCTCCTGATTGGCCCAGCATGAGCCATTGCAGACATTTGGGGAGTGAACCAGTGAATGGAAGATCTCTCTCTCTCTGCCTCTGGCTCTGTGTAACTCTGCCTTTCAAATAAGTAAATCTTTTAAAATGTACAGTACAGCAGAACCAGTACAGCAGAACTCACAACCAGAATACTGATAATGATACAATGCACTGATATTCAATTTTCACCAGTTTCACTTTTACTCATTTGTGCAAGCACAATAAGCTCTATACTAACCTATTTTCTGGTTGTATCTGTGTATTCACCCCCACAATCGAGGATCCTTCATGTGCCCTTTTTCACCACATGTATTTCTTCCTGTTCCTAAATCTGGACAATGATTAATCTATTCTCCATTTCTAAATTCTTGTCATGGGGTTTTGCTTTTTTGCTCAGCATATTTGCCTGAAGAATTACTGTGTGTTTCAAGTTTGCTCCTTCTGTTGTGGAGCAGTGTTCCACAGAATGGACGCACCAGAGTGTATTTAACCAGTCACCTCTTGAAGGACAACAGCTATTATGAAAATCCATCCAGGAATAGGTTTTCACAAAAACTAATCCTGTGATTTTTAAAGTTCATAATAGTAATTCCAATTTTGAAACTTTGTAAGCTACTTTTGATGAATGTTAAGATGGTAAAACAGAATATTCCTTTTAACCACTTTTAGAATAGCACTGGTTTTGCAATATGAAAAAGGCAGTTAAAATAAATGTTTCATATTTAAATATCAGCATTAGTAAATTAAATATACTCACCAATAAAGGCACTATCAGATTCCAATAATGAATTTTTCAAGAGATCATTACTGACATCTCTGGACTAAAAGAAATATCATGTATTAATGCCTATTTTTATTAATCCTGTGTGGAAAAACTAATTAGTACTAAAAGGCCGCATGCATTTCTATGATGCCCCCACAAAACCAAGAGGACAAGGAGAGAGGTAGCATTGACTGCTTCCAACACCTGGGAAATACTGGAAAGGCTTAACATAGAATCCCCATCAGAGCAGCAGAAGACTTGCCAGGACAAAAGATTCTGGAAAGCAAAGACATTTACTTCCTAACTCCCTCCATTCCTTCCTGCCTCCTTGTGATTTAAGTCAAAGAAAAGGATCACATTACCGCTAATGAGAAACAATGAACCCAACTAAACATTAAAAATCTTTCAATCACTCTCAAGACTCACTGACTCTTTCAATAAATATTTATGGTACAATTATCTCTCCTATGCTAGAAAATAAGGATACAAAGATGAACTGAGAGTCTGCTCTGGAGTAAACCATAATCCATAATCCCATAGACTGCCCTCAGATAGCGAGTCCTGTGTTACAGCAAATGTCATGATCACATAGCATAGATATAATGGGCATATAGTAGGGGGGAAAATAATGGTAGCATTGACCTTGCTATGATGAGCTACCAAATGAGAGTTAACTTAAATTTACAAATAGAGAATTTTTCAGTAGAGAGCATCACGTTCCTTAAGTATCAAAAGGAACCTGAAGGTATCCAGTGATATTTCCCTGAACCTCCTCCTAAGATCCCTGGGCTTTAAACACTCTGGTGGAGAGCTGTCAGTTAAATTATTTTTTAAGATTTATTTTTTAATCATTTGAAAGGCAGAGTTAGAGAGAGAAAAGCAGATACACAGAGAGAGAAATCTTCCATTTGCTGGTTCACTCCCCAAATGGCTGCAGTGGCTAGGGCTGGTCCAGGACAAAGCCAGGAGCCTGGAGCTTCATCCAGGTCTCCCACATGGGTGCAGGGGCCCAAGCACTCAGACCATCTTCTGCTGCTTTTCCAGGCATATTTGCATGGAACTGGATAACAAATGGAACAGCAGTGTCTTGAACTGGCAGCCCATATGGTATGCCAGCATCATAGATGGAGGCTTAACCTGCTCTGCTACAACATCAGCCCCTATCAGTTCATTTTTAAGGCAGCAAATTCCATTCACACATACCTTTCATTATCACAAAGTTTTCTTAGACTGAGTTCTATATACTGAATTTAATCTTTTTAATGTACCACTCATTGATTCTACGTATGCTCTCTAGCATGCTAATAATGGTGATGATAGGCATAGCAGCTGAACCAAATGGTCTGAACCAGGTGTGCTTAGCATGTCACACACTACCCACATTCTGCATCACAGTCCTTCACATAACTAAAACAAGACATCAAAGTCTACCCGAGCCTTATCTTCTTGACAATCATGCCAAATTTCACCCTGTTTTCTCCACATATTCCAGTTTTAGAAAGATCAGAAGTCCAAGCTTTCTTGTAACAACCATGATGATGCGCTTATGCCCAACTATTACTCAGCAAAATCTGTTACTGATCCAGGATTTTAACCTAAACCACTTAAGATTAAATTGCTTTTTTACCTAAAAAAATAGGACCACCAGATATGGAGAAATCTACTGATCTGCACAATCTTCCTAAACAGGGGCCAAGGCATCTCAGGCTGTGACAAGAAGGAGCCCTTAAGTCTGGCCTCAGTTCAAATCTAGATTTTACTACCTATTGGCTATGTGACCCCAGGCAAGAGAGTAACAAGCCTTTAAATATGAGACTCCTCTTATAAAAGGACATGCATACCAGCAGTTCCCTGCTAATGTGCCTGGGAATGCAGGCCCCTGCACACATATGGGAAATCCTGAAGAAGCTTCTGGCTCATGGCTTCAGATTGCAGCCATTTGGGGAATGAACCAGCGGATGGAAGATATTCCTCTCTCTCTCTCTCTCTGCCTCTGCTTCTCTATGACTGCCTTTCATATAAATATATATATATATATGTCATCTCTATATGCATATACACTAATATTTCTCTAGTTACCCACCATACTGATGAGAAAAGATTTAACTTTTTTAACTCAACATTTCTGAAAAATTCAAAATTTGGAATACAAACTTACATTCCTAAAAATTTTTATCTCCCAAAAACTAACCTGAAAAAGTATAACTGGTTGCTTACCATTCTATGCTCTCTTCCTCTGGCATCTAAGTCAACTGGAATCAATGAGAACAGAAAGAAATTAAAAGATTAGAAAATGTTTAATAAGTTTGAGCTTATCTTTTATCATAAGTTTTCTATTGGAAATTACTTTTCAACTACCACACCTCAGAATATGTTTAAGATACTATTCATAAAAAGAAATACAACCCTTTATCCATTCTAGTTAGATAATTCTCCTACTCACATTAATGAATATAACAAATGAAATCACTGTGAACATAAACAGATGCCTACAGAAAGAAAGAAATGATTAATGCCAGGTTCTTCTCCAACTTCAGTCATATTTCTACAAGATGCATAGAAAATTGAATGTAATTAAGTGCAGGGCTCCCTCACACAGAAGTGATGTAAGCTAAATCCTAGACATCTGCAGGGTTTCAGAGGCAAAGTGTCTGGATCAGGTATCCCAAAGGATCTCCAATTTGACAGCTTTCCTACATGTTCCTCTAAATAGTGCACCTTGTCCTTTCACATGCAGACTCTGGGAATAAACAGGCTGTCAATGATAACCTATATCCCTTCTCAAAATACTGCACAGCCATATTTCATTCTCAGGAATTACATCATCACAGTATTTGCTGGAAATATTGAAGGTAGTTAATGTAGGGGTGGATTCCTTCAGTGACAAGATGCACCTATATCTACCTGGGGACTACCTTTGGCTTAATTAGTCTAAGTTGCCAAGTTCCCACAAGATCATCTCATTTTAAACATCTGAAGAAACTGCCACCTAACTGGGTGTAAGTGTTAACAAATGTACTTAATTCTCTTTTATGATAATCTCCCTACACGAAGTGTAGAACCTGGGTTATTCTGCTGTCATAGGGTGACATATGAAGCTATTACTATAAATCCAGTACTAGATGGATGGAAGATGTTTCTTATACAAATGTTTATCAAAGACTTGACCTATGTGTTACATTACTTACTCCTGTGGTGCCACCTCATGAGGTCAAAAAAACCTTCTTTAAATTCTCCAAACCAGGACAGCCAAGCAAGGTAGGATCTTAAATATTCCTAAAAAAAAATCTGGTAGGACCACCCCCTTTATTTTTTGTTACCTCAATATTGTGCTTTTATTATTCATTTCACAATGGTCACACTCAACGGCCTGAAGGTTAGCCAAGCTGGTGAGATACTATGTGAGGGACATGTGGTACATCTCAGTATCAAAGGGGTCCATCCACATGTCTGAAGACACATAGCTCCACTCTGCCTCAATGCCCACTAGCCCCAGTTCACATTTCCAAGGGACCCTCACGTTCTCATTTATAATATTCATCACATTTCTACTCACTTAGCATCTAACTTCTCCAACAGAATATAAGCTCCTTGACAGTAGTAGCCTATTTCATTCATAACCAAGTCATTATAGGCTGATCATCCAAAACTCAAAAGCTTTTGGTGCTCAAAAAGTTTAGATTTTTGGATTAAGGATGCACAACCAATAGGATCTACAGAAATATTCCAAAATCTGAAAAAGTTCCTATCTGAAACACTTCTGGTCCCAAGCGTTTCAGACAATGAATTCTCCAACTGTACCTGTACCCCTAGTAGGCACTTAGTATCTGCTGATTGGTTGATGAAACAAGATGTAGTCATTGCCCTATCTAGTGGTACATAAGAGATAATGCCTTCAAAGACTGCAGTCACTGTCCTATGTAATGGTACACAGAGGTACCAAAACTAAAACATACACCCCCAAACAGCAGAGAAATTCCACGTGGGGCACTAATGTCTTTGACTAGCATTTCTTCTTTTGATTCCCACTTTCAGGTGCAGATGTCACCAGGCCTGGATAAAGTACTAAATCTCTCTTGCTATAGAGTATACAACCCCAGCTGAACCAATCAGAACCTACTCTGGGACTTGTTTTTTCCTGAGACTGTTAGCCAAAAGGGACACATAAGCATGGAGCAGTCAGTTGAGAGGAGGGAGGGTGCTCTCTAATCCTCTGCCTGCGGCACCAGCATCCCATATGGGCACTGGTTCTAGTCCCGGTTGTTCCTCTTCCGGTCCAGCTCTCTGCTATGGCCTGGGAAAGCAGTGGAAGATGGCCCAAGTGATTGGGCCCCTGAACCCACGTGGGAGACCCATAAGAAGATCTTGGCTCTGGGCTTTGGATAGGCCCAACTCCAGCTGTTGAGGCCATTTAGAGAGTAAACCAGAGGATGGAAGGCCTTTCTATCTCTCCGTCTCACTCCCTGTAACTCTACCTCTCAAATAAATAATAAATGAGATCTTTAGTAATCACTTGAAATAGTAATGATTATCCCTCACCCTCAGCACATTCCTGCATTTTTATTCTATTCAGCCTCTTCTGCTGCTCTCGTAGCAGGGCTTGCTGCTGAATCTCTAAGGTGTGATGATCTCTTGGAGGATCAGGATACATAAATTTCAGGTCAACTCGTGTTTCTGAATCTGGTGCAAAAAATACATTAAGTTAAACCTTATTTTCAAATGAGATTTTATAAAACTACCAGGTGTAATGATATAAACAGCACAACATTACCAAAGAAAAAGGACACTAAAATATCTATAGAAGAATACAAAATTAATATTCTCAGTAAATTCCTTTTCATAAACTTATCCACACTCTAAGGAAATCACCAGAACAAATAGTAGCTTGTGGATGAACTCTCCTTCCCTATCTTCCCCACTTCCTCAAGATGCCACCTAGGACACACATCATGGTTAGTCACATGGCTATTACACAAGTCATGAGACACTGTAATCAGCTGATCCCTAAAATATACTGAAAAATGAAAAAATGTTACTCTATTTGAAATGATGCTATTAGTGTTTTAGCCCTCATGAGTATCATTCAGAAAGCAAGGTAAATGTAGACAGGCTGGAACTTTAGGAAGGATTCATTATTGAAGAAAATGATGGTTTCAGAATTTACCTCTGCCATAATTTCATGACTATCAGTTGATCTGAATAAAAATATTAAATACTTATTTTTAAAGTAAGCCATGAAAGTATTATTCCTATTTTAGCTACTAAATATATTGCTGGTACACAATTTAAAGTAATAATCATGTATATACATACATATATACATATGAAAAATTTGATTATCAGAAATTATCCCAAGAATGCCACAGTGAAACTGGGGAACACCTTGAACAATGAAGAAACTGGTTAGGAACACAGTTAACAGAAGAGGCTCTACACACAGACTTGGATTGGAACTTTGGCTTCACCATTTCCAGACTGTTTCTTCTCTGTAAAAAACAATACCAACAACCAAGTCACAGGCTAATGGAAAGCCTCCAAAAGATGTAGAAACAGGGAAATGAATGGCTCAATTCTACGATGTAAACTTTTTAGCTCTCAAGACTCTTTCATTCTTAAAAACTGAAGACCTCAAAGAGCTTACACATACATACATCAATATATGTGAAATACTGGAAATCAAATTGGCATTTTTAAAACATGAGAATACATAAGCACACATTTTATGAGCTCCAGAGAAATGAAATTATTCATGGTATGTTGCCTCTAGGAAACATGTACACACCTGAGAAAATGAGGATAAAAAAATAACATCTTAGTTTATAGTAGAAAATAGTTTCCACTGAGACCAAACTGGCTTAATATAATGACTAGGTATTAAGTAATCAATAAATGACAAAAAGAAAAAAACAAAAAAACTTCAGTATATGTGATGATACTAAGTGAAAAAAGAGATAAATAATAATTAAATCTTATTTTGCTTTTTTTTAAACATGCTCAGAAAGAACAGTAGAGAACATGCAAAATGTTAATGGTTTTCCCTGTTCTCTTTAGAATTTCCTATAATAAGTAGGTGTTATTTTTAAATGGAAGTTTAAATTGTAGTTTATCTAGCCTACGTCATATGACCACACATCCAATAATCAAATCTGCCTCCTCAACTCCTAAAGGAGAATCACATACAACACATTTTTCTACTAAGCTTTCTCTCCCACTCCCTCTAAGAAGCCTCAGGAATCTCCTCTCTACTCTCAGCCCTCAGATCCTTTAGATGTCCTCTCGCCTGCTCCACACCCTGCTCCCTTCAATGATCATTCCTTCCTCTCCTGTATCCTAAACCTTCCCTGCAAAAGCTCTTTACATTAGTTCCTCAGCAACTGAGCCCTCTCTTCTTCCCAGCAAACACTTCTTCCAAAGGTAGTCTTATGTCCACTGCCTCTAAAATATTGCCTATCAATCCACATTCCAAAGCTAACTGGCTTCTTATCCCATCAGTCCACTTAAAAAATTGAGCTGAGGGCCAGCGTTGCAGTGTAGTAAATTAAGCTGCCACCCGCAGAGATGGTATCCCACATGGGCACCGTTTCTAGTCCCAGCGGCTCCACTTTTTTTTTTTAAGGTTTATTTTTATTTATTTGAAAGACAGAGTTACAGAGAGAGGCAGAGACAGAGAGAGGCAGAGACAGAGAGAGAGGTCTTCCATCAGCTAGTTCACTCCCCAGACAGCCACAACAGCCAGAGCTGTGCCGATCTGAAGCCAGGAGCTTCTTCTAAGACTCCCACATGGGTGCAGGGGCCCAAAGACTTGGGCCATCTTCTACTGCTATCCCAGGCCACAGCCAGAGAGCTAGATTGGAAGAGGAGCAGCCGGGACTAGAACCGGCACCCATATGAGATGCCGGCGTTTCAGGCCAGGGCATTAACCCCGCTGCACCACAGCGCTGGCCCTGCTGCTCCACTTCTGCTATTAATGTGCCTGGGAAAGTGGAAGATGGCTCAAATCCTTGGCCCCCAGCACCTACATGGGAGACCCAGATGAAGCTCTTGGCTCCTTACTTAGGCCTGGCCCAGTTCAGCCCTGGCTGTTACGGTCATTTGGGGAGTGAACCCACAGATGGAAGATCTCTCTTTCTGCCTCTGCCTCTGCCTCTCTCTGTAACTCTGCCTTTCAAATAAATAAATGAATGAATCTGCTAAAAAAAAATAAAGTGGAGGTCACCAGCACTTCTAATCCAAATGACATTTTTCAAGATCCATTTCAAGCAATCACTTCTCCATATTACACTCACTCTCTTCCCTCAACTTTCAGGATCCAACATTTGCCTACTTTTCCTCCAGTCTTTCTGGTTTCTGTCAGTCTTTTTCATAAGCTCAACTTCTCCTATCATTCCTCAGTTAATGCCAAGTTCCATACTTCATGCTAGTCTCTGTGAACTCTTCAACCATGAGCTTTTGCAGCTATATGCATTCCAAAAGAAAATATTTAGCTGGCCCGCTAAACTGAAGAACTAGAATATACTGAAGTTTAATTTATTGAATTTAAAATATACATCATAAATGAAATTTTACTTCAGAAAAAGGGTGCAAATGACTGTACATGATCCACTACACACCTCTATCTTTCAGCTCATTAAAATCATGAATATTCTGCAAAGTAGTGACATCTAAGCATTTAGGCGACTGTCTTCTAACAGGAGCTTGCAATCGATGTCTAGCCATGTCAAATATATCCATGGGATTCCTTTCTCTTTTCCTGTAGATAAATGACAAATCATGATAAATGCACTTTGTAGGAAGAAAACATTGAGTTTACATTTAATTCACTGTAAAAGGAATTTGACATTTTTTACCACAGTATATAATAGTTATTCTAGCAGTTATTTCAATCCTTCATATTAAAAGTAGAGTGTTTATAAAGTTAATGTAATCTTTCATAATGATTACATGCAAAGTCTTTATTAGCAGAGTAAAATGATTCACCTTTACCTAAAATGTGGTAAGATGATCAGTCTTTGAGATCAGAGACACTGAGATTCAAAGATTAGTTGCTACCTGTTAGCAGTTTGATCTTGATTTAATTATCAATAAAATACAAAGTCTCTATCCCTTATAGTCTTGCGAGCCTGAGAATAAAGACCAATTATATACTGTAAAGTACCCAGCACAGTAGTTGATATGTATCAGGTAATCAATAAATGTTACCTCCTTCTCAACCTAAAATAAGAAATCACACATATAAATATTGTCTCACAATGCTGCTCAACATAATGGGTATTATCCAGAGTCCCCAACACTATTTTTACAAAAGGGTTTCAAGGGGCCGGCAATGTGGATATAAAGGTACAGCAGCTGCCTGCAGTGCCGGCATCCCATATGGGCGCCAGTTCAAATACCAGCTGCTCCACTTCCAATCTAGCTCTCTGCTTATGGTCTGGGAAAGCAGTAGAAGATGACCCAAGTCCTTGGGCCCCTTCACCCATGTGGGAGATTTAGAACAAGCTTCTGGCTCCTGGCTTTGGATCGGCTCAGCTCAGCCAGTGAGGCCATTTAGGGAGTGAACCAGCAGAAGGAATTCTCTCTCTGCCTTTCAAATAATTTTTTTTTTTTTTTAAAAGAGACTTTCAGAGTACTTGATATCTAATCAACTGATTCCTGTAGTACCTAGGAAATTAACATAGTAGACAGGTGACTTTCTTTTTTTTATTTGACAGGTAGAGTTATAGACAGTGAGAGGTAGAGACAGAGAGAAACGTCTTCCTTCCATTGGTTCACTCTCCGAATGGTTGCAACGGCCAGAGCTGCGCTGATCTGAAGCCAGGAGCCAGGAGTCTCATCCTGGTCTCCCATGCGGGTACAGGGGCCCAAACACTTGGGCCATCTTCCACTGCTATCCAAGGCCACAGCAGAGAGCTGGCTGGAAGAGGAGCAGCTGGGACTAGAACCAGCATCCATATGGAATGCTGGCGCCGCAGCTAGAGGATTAACCTAGTGCGCCATAGCGCCAGCCCTGACAGGTGACTTAATAAAGGAGTTTTCTGGGACTGGCATTGTGTTACAACAGATTAAGTCACTGCTTGTGATACTAGCATCCCATATCAGAGTGGCAACTGCAATCTTGATTGCTGCATTTCCAATCCAGCTCCCTGCTAATGTACCTGGGAAGGCAGCAGATAATTGTCCCTGCCACCCATGTGGAGGACCCAGATGGAGTTCCTGACTCCTAGATTTGGCCTGAATCTGCTCTGGCCTTTGCAGCCATTTGGGATGTGAACCAGCAAGATGAAGATATCTCCCTCTCCCTCTCCTGGCTCTCTGTAACTCTACCTTTCAAATAAAATAAATCTTTAAAAAAGAAAAAAAAATTGACAGGCTACCTGGTTTCTCTTTTTCAAATCATAGTGATTTTCCAAAAGATACCATAGTCTCAGTTTATGAATCAATATGAATAAAATATCAATAATCTATTATACTGAATTAAATATGAATGTTTGGAAAATGAAAAGCATTCAGAACATGAAACGAACATCTAAGCAAAATATAACTACATTATATTTACCTAGCTACATTAAAATCTTCCATGTGCTGGATTAGTCAAGAGACACCAGTACGTACTTAATATGTATACAAAAAGATAGATGCAGAAAGAGTGCCAGATTGGTTTATTTACACAACTTAGTATACATACATAAATTAGCCAGTCCTGTTCTTCAGTAAGAGGACTTTCAAAAAACAATACCCAGTAACAAATATACTCAGCTCCCAGAATGTGGTTTCTAAATACCATTCTCTCTCTCTCTTTTTTAAAGATTTATTTATTTAAAAGAGTTACACAGAGAGGAGAGGCCGAGAGAGAGAGAGGCTCCCATGCTGGTGCAGGGGCCCAAGGATTTGGGCCATCTTCTACTGCTTTCCCAGGCCATACCAGAAGGCTGGATCAGAAGTGGAGCAGCAAGGTCTCGAACTGGCGCCCATATGGGATGACAGCGCTTCAGGCCAGGGCATTAACCCACTGCACCACAGCGCCGGCCCCCTCTAAATACCATTCTCTAAAAGCAACCCTGACTCCTTGAAGAGACAGCTAATACCACAGCTGGGGCAAGGAAAATTCAATATGATCCTGGTACATATTATACTACCAGAAAGTGAGGTAGTTATCAAAAAACAAAAGGATGGGGATATGTCAAAAATATGAAGGAGTCAACCTAAAAGAGTTCCCAAAGGCCAAATCCAGAACAATTTAAGAAATAAAATAATTGAATATTGTATTATAACCCAAAGTACAGGATATATGAGACAACAGAAATATAAATAATTGAATAGAAGAAAAAAATTTTTCTTATGGAAGAATTTTAAGTAATATATGTAGGTAGTCCCTCTATATTACTTAATTCAACCCCTCTGCTCACTTTGGTGAGTGGTCTAAAGTTACGAAACTTTACAGTGGAGAAATCTAGCAAACGTTACCAAAGATAAGCAAATGAAGGTTAACATCACCAGGGATGTCACAGTGTGTCTCCCTGATATGATGTGATGTGCAAAGAGCACTCTGCCATTTTAGAAAAACCCTTAACCTTGATATCAGAAGACATCAGAAAAATCCAAATTGGGGCCACAGACTTCCACAGTCATGAATAAGAGAAAACCTGAGAAACTGTCCCAGACCAGATAGATGACAACTAAATGTATCCCACTGTGAGACGGCAAGAGGATTAATGGGAAAACATGAAAAATCCAAAATTTTGAAATTTAATTAATAGTAATATTTTTTAAGATTTTTTTATTTATTTGACAGGCAGAGACACAGACAGTGAGATAGACAGAAAGAAAGGTCCTCCCTCCGTTGGCTCACTCCCCAAATGGCCACAATGGCCAGAACTGCACTGATCAGAAGCCAGGAGCCTCCTCTGGGTCTCCCATGAGGGCGCAGGGGCCCAAGCACTTGGGCCATCCTCCACTGCTATCCCAGGCCACAACAGAGAGCTGGACTGGAAGAGGAGCAAACGGGACCAGAACCGGCACCCATATGGGATGCCGGCGACGCAGGCAGAGGATTAACCTAGTGCACCATGGAGATGGCCCCATAATGGTAATATTTTAATGCCAACTTTTATCTATGACAAACGAACCCTGGCAAATAGGGAAAAACTGGGTGAAAATATACAAAAAAAAAATAGAATTCTAAACTTGCCTTATATGAATTTCATCATCATCCATGTGTAGTAGCTGCCCTTGTAGACGCCTCTCTTCACTACGAAGCTGTTTTCTCATTTCTGATAATTCCATAATTACATTTTTTCTCTCTTCTTCAAATTCCCATTGATAAATAAAAAAGTATAAGATCAAAAGATTAAATACTAAAACATAGCCTGATTTATCATAAAGCTCAGAGAAAATTTTATGAAAGGCATTTTTTATGTTTTATACATACACATAAATACGGATCATACTTATGAACATCAGTAAGAGCCACACACTTGTGATAGTACAGGAATTTCAAAAGTTAAGCTGTTCTTGGGAGGAATACAGCTACAAAGGGGCAGCACAAGGGAATTCCTTTGTGGTGATGGGACACTTCGGTACTTTGCAAGCTATACATGATAAAAATGTACAGAAATCCAAACACAGAAATGCAGGCAGAAACTGGTGAAATCTGAACAAGGTCTTTAGGACATACCAGTATCAACTTCCTGGTTGTCATACCATACTATGTAAGGTGTTACCAGTGGTGGAGGTTAAGGGGGAGAAGAGAAAGCAATTCTCTCTAGTAATACTGTTTTTGCAACTGTCTGTGAATCTATGATTATTTACAATTCAAAGTTTTTAAAAAATACTTTCTAGATTGCAGGCTTAATAGGTAACTACCTTCTGCACGGAGCTGATTTTTCCTGGCAGGTACTGGAGGAGACTGTGGCCTGGACACAGAACTTTCCTGTTTAACAGTAATGACAGACATATGTTCAGGACATTTTCCCTACTCAACATGAAATGAGTCAATGTTTTAAGCACCTATATGTAAAGGAAACCAAACTCCACACTATCCTACCTATAACACTTACCCACAACTATGTATATACATATATGGGGGGGTGGGGGAGAAAGAGAGAAAAAGAGAGAGAGAGAGTGATTCTGTCTTCTCACTGCAATGGAAGGGCTCTTGCCCTACCTCCAAATGTAATCCCTTCATCTGTAAGCAACTCCCACCTCCTCCAGCACTTCTTTTTTCCAACCTCTTCCTCTCTCCAAGCACCTTTCTCTTAAACTGGGTAAAAACCTCTCTCTTCTTCCACTTTCTTACCATCTACTCTCCCTTCTTTCTCTTCCCTTCATAGGCAAGTTTAAGAATAGTAAATGCATACATCTGATGGCTATTTCCTTATTCTCACTCATTGCTTGACACAGCTACTGTCTTTATTCCTATACCTCATCACTGCAGCAACACCGCCCTCACCAAAATCACAAAGTGATCCCTAGGTGACATGTTCCATGGGCATCTGAAGCTATTTCATTTGGCTAATAGGAACTAATATCATTGCCACTCTCTCACCGTCTGTGTCTCTATTCCTTTCCCTGCTTCCCAACTGTTGGCAATTCCCTAGTGTTATATCCTTGGCCCTTTTTACTTCTCCCTCTACACAACTGTTGTACTTTGATAGGCTTAAAGCCTTAAATTTATGAGTAAAGATAAGCACCAACATGCTAATAACTTCCAAAACTACAAATCCAATCCCCAACTCCTCCCTCAGCCACATCTCATATTTTCAACCTCGTACCCTATAGAACCCTTACCAGAATGCTCAAAGTAATCACTCTTAGCTACCTCACACTGAGTTGAAAATTCCACTAGTTTTGCCTCTTAATTATTTCATGAAGCTACAGCCTTTCTCAATTCCTGGTGTTATCTTTAAGTCCCCAAACATCTGGGCTTCTGCAATAGTATAATACATTGTCTTCACATTTACAGTATTGCCTCACATTCCAAATATATCTCCACACCACCGCCACCGAAAACATTATATGGGACAAAAGTGGCCATATCATTCTCCAACCAAAGCACTACAGTGAATCTCCATGCATTATCGACCAAAGGCCTAATCACCAGAATCTCAGAGGATGGGATTCAGGAAGATGTTTTTCATAAATATTTCTCTAGGTATTTCTCAGGTAATTAGTGTATCTGGAATCCACCAACCTATGAAATGAAGTCAAAGCTTTTAGCAACCCTTACAACATCCCCTGTATGTTCTGACCTTCACCTCCCCTGCCACCTTGGCATCAGCAGGCCTGTACCAAGGACAGACGATTTTTGCATGCATGCCATAGGCTCTTACTGTCTTCCCTGCCTCTGGATGTTCTGCAAATTCCTAGCCCTGTTCTCTTTCTGGCTAATTCCTACTCATTCTTGCTCTGGAAGAGATTCCCTAATTTCTTGACTGCTTATTCTAAAGGATAAGGGACTTCATGAGCATAACTAAAGCTAACTATAATATACATTACCAAAGAAAGGAAAATACAATTTGCTAAATTACGGTTTGTCAAACTTTGGGCATCAAGTACTATTAGTTACAATTAAAGCAACAGAGAAATTAATATAAACATTACCTATATTTCATATCTAAAAAAATCTTAACCTATTGAAATATGAGAATAAAATTTCAATTGGTGCCCCCCAACTGGAATTAATTAAGATAAGATTAACAAAACAAAAAGGATATATACATGAATAAAGGAACTTATGATGCTGTCAACTGAAGGAGGTCTTTGAAGTTTGCTTGCAATTTTGTGCTGAAGAGCAGGAACCACAGGAGAAGGCTGCCTCAAGTGCTGCAAAATTGAAAAAGAAATATATATACATATCCCTAATATATACATATTTCTAACATATCCCTAACATATACATATCCTTAACACTTAATAAGAATATTGAAGAAGTTCATATTGTTACTGCTTTTATTTAATAAAACATTCTTTATGAAAAAAAAGAAAAAAAAAATAGAGGCACATAGTGTTGCAGTTAAGATGCCAGTTAGGAAGCCTGCAACCCAAAACAGATATAGTGCCTGGGCTTGACTCCCAGCACTGGCCTTTGATTCCAGCCTCCTGCCAACAGACTGTGAGGCAGCAGTGACATCTCAAGTAATTATATTCCTGCCACCCACTTGAGAGACCGAGACTGGGTTCTAGGCACCCAGTTTCAGTCCTGTGGCCATTGCAGGTATTTGGGGAGTAAGTCAGTAAATGGGAGGTCACTTATTCTCTTTCTCAAATAACACAGAAATTCAATTAGTCACAGATATTGATTATGATAAACACAAGTGGATTCAGATATCCCTAAGCAAAAGATAACTGTGAAAACAGGATTAAAAATTCAACAATTTAAATAAATATACATGAATAAAAGACAAAACATGGTGACACAAAGGTAAAATTAAAGAGTAGACAAAAAGAGCCGGCGCCGTGGCTCAATAGGCTAATCCTCCACCTTGCGGCGCCGGCACACCGGGTTCTAGTCCCGGTCGGGGCACCGGATTCTGTCCCGGTTGCCCCTCTTCCAGGCCAGCTCTCTGCTATGGCCAGGGAGTGCAGTGGAGGATGACCCAGGTGCTTGGGCCCTGCACCCCATGGGAGACCAGGAAAAGCACCTGGATCCTGGCTCCTGCCATCGGATCAGCACGGTGCGCCGGCTGCAGCGGCGGCCATTGGAGGGTGATCCAACGGCAAAGGAAGACCTTTCTCTCTCTGTCTCTCTCTCTCACTGTCCACTCTGCCTCGTGTGGAAAAAAAAAAAAAAAAAAAAAAAGAGTAGACAAAAAATGCATCAGGCATATATAAATTAGAAAATCTGACAGCTAGCAAGATTAATATCAGGATGGAGGGCAAAATGCACTAAATAGTATAAAGCCAATTTATAACTTTATGGTATTTTACAACTAAACTATAACATATATTAAATTCTATAACTCTTAACAAATATTTCCAAATATTTGTTTTATTTATTTGCTACCGAGGATGTGGTGGAAGGGGAACTCTTAAACATTATTGGTGGGAATGTAAACTAGTGCAGCTGCTGTCAAAGACAGTAAGGAGATTTCTTAAAAAATTAGATAGAGACTTGTCATGTGATCCAGCAATCCCACTACTGGGTATATATCCAAAAGACATGAACACAGTGCATCAAAGAGATACCTGTATCACCATGTTTATAGCTGTACTTTTCACAACAGCCAGGATATGGAATCAACCCAGTCTACCATCAGATGAATGGATAAATAAAAAGTACACACACAAATGCAGTGTAGTTCATCTACTAAAAAAGAATGAAATTCTACTATTTACATAAAAATGGATGCAACTAGAAGACATCATGTTGAGTGAAATATTAGACACAGAAAGACAAATACTGCAAGCTCTCCCTTATAAGTGGGAGTTAAAATTAAAAAAAAAATCAAAAAGAAGAAATGCCTGTGTGTATCAGTATTGCTGCAAATATAGTTCGTCAAACTTTGTTTTAGATCTTTGTAAAACAAATGATTAACGATGATACACCATCAGGCTCTCAGTTCTTTACTGAGATGCCTGACTGACCTGTCAGGTGTACTCTCTTCATCTCTTCACTATTTCTGTTCATTAAACTTTGCTAGCAGGCTTACTGCTTTAAAAAAAAAAAATAAGAAGAAGAAGAAGAAAAGAAAAAGAAAAAAAGGATGCACTACTATAGTTTTACAATTTATTAAGACTGAAACTGACATCTTTTCATTTTATTTTTCTTTACAGCCCCTGCCTGTATTCCTGATGAACTGCTCCTTTTTACATTTTGAACTCTTTATTTAGTGCAGCATTAAGCCTTTGACTATAAAGTAAAAATATTTCAAATTTAAGAAAAAACACAGAAAGGGGCCAGCACTGTGGCGTAATAGGCTAAGCCTCACCTGCAGTGCTAGCACCCTATGTGGGCACTGTCCATGTCACGGCTACTCTTCTTCTGAGCCAGCTCTCTGCTTATGGCTTGAGAAAGTGGTGGAAGATGGCCCAAGTGCTTGGGCCCCTGCAGCCACATGGGAGACCCAGAAGAAGCTCCTAGCTCCTGGCTTCAGATTGGCTCATCTCCGACCACTGCAGCCATTTGGGGAGTGAACCAGAGGATGGAAGATCTTTCTTTTTGTGTCTAGCTCTGTCTGTAACTCTCTCTCAAATAATAAACAAAATCTTAAAAAAAAAAAAAAAAAAGGAAAGGAAAGGAAAGAAACAGAAAAAGGGGGAGGGAGAGTGGAATGGAAGGAGGAAAGGAGTGAGGAAAGTATCATTCTATTCTTAGAATTGTATCTCTGAGGGGCCAGGGCTGTGGCTTAGCAGGTTAAGCCTCTGCCTACAACTCAGGCATCTCATATGGGCACCGATTTGAGTCTTGGTTGCTCCATTTCCAATCCAGCTCCCTGTTAATGGCCTAAGAAAACAGCATAAGATGGCCCAAGTCTGTGGGCCCTTCACCAATGTGAGAGACCTGGAAGAAGTCCTGGCTCCAGGCTTGCGGCCACTGGGGGAGTAAACTAGCAGATGGAAGATCTTTATCTCTACTTCTCTCTCTGTAACACTACCTTCAAATAAAATAAATCTTAGGAAAAAAAAAAAAAAAAAAAAAAGGAAGTTTATCTGTGAACTACTTTGAATCTGTCCTTACCGTATTAATACTACTCTAACATGGGAATTCAAAAACAATTTAAAAATAAAGATAAAATAAAATACATCACATTTTGCTGGACAGAAAATACCAACAAAGCACAGTGATGGCATCTCATATAGGAAGTTCACCATGCTGCAACTAGGTTAAGTAATACAAAAATGGGAAACAAGCACACCTCTCCTCTTTCTGCCTTTTTCTAACAATTCCACAATTTTTTACAGCAAAAGTACGTTAGAGATGACTGACAATTTTGTCTGAAACTTACCTTTGTTTCTGCCCCAATGGTATTTTCTCTCTCATAGTAGTGCTGAAGTTGCAGATTATGTTTCTCTTCTTCTTCTTTCTTCTTTCTTTCTGCTTCTTTTCGTCTTTCTTCAGCTAACCGAATAAGCTCTTCATTTTTAAGTCTTTGCTTTAAAATTTAAAAAAAAATACACACTCCATATGTACATTCTGTAGTACCATCATTTACTATATTTGGCTGAAATACAGAGATAAAACTGAAGATACAGAGGTCTCTAACATAAAGATACTTAACAAAAAAATTAGGCATCTTTATCTACAACTATTTTTTCACTAAAAAAAAACCCACATTTTTTAGTGAATTAGTCTTTCACTTTAATAAAATAGCTAATGAACAAGTATCATTTCAATATTTTCTAGTTGTACTTCAAGACTGCTCCTTACCAGTAAGAATATCCTTTCAAGTCAAAATAAAGACTTTCAGGTTAAATATAAATAAATTATAGAAGGGGAAAAAAAACCACCTCTTCTTCTTTTTCCTTTTTCTTTTCCTGTTCCTCTTCATACTCTTGCTGAATTCGTGCCCTCTGTTCTGCAAGCCGTTTTTCTTCTTTTTCTTCTGCAATTCTCAGTCTCTCTCGTTCTGCTTCTTCTCTTTGTTTCTTTTCTTCAATCTAAAAATTGGACCTCATTATTATTAAGATTTATTTTTATTAAAAGACAGAGTGACAGAGATGAAGGAGAAAAAAGCAAAAGAGCTCTTCCATCTGCTAGTCCACTCCCCAGTAATGTTCACAACAGTCAGGGCTGGGCCAGGCAAAGCAAGGAGCCAGGAACTCCATCTAAGTCTCCCTTGCATGTGGAAAGAGTCTGAGTACTTGGGTCATCTTCTGCCATTTCCCATGCTCATTAGCAGGGAGATGGATTGGAGGGAGAACAACCCAGACTTGAACTGTTAACTCCAGTATGGGATGCCAACATTGTAGGAGTTATCTTAACCTGCTGAGCCTCAATGTCAGTCCCTTAGTTAATAATTTGTAGAACTATTAAAAAGTCAGAATACCAGAGAATCCAAGATGGCTGAATAGAGAAGTGCTGATTTTGACAATGGAAACAGAAGAAAAGCAGAGAAAGTGCATTCCTGGGGGGATTTGGACGGAAGTTTGCAGGGGAAATTCTACAAAAAGATGCAAAACACCGTGGAGCAGCATGGAAAGTACCAACACGCAGGACCAAGCTGTGGAGACAACCACAGCCAGGAGCTAGAGGAGAAGCCATTTTCTTTAAGCTAGCAGAGAGAATACTGCCTGAGGGAGAACCTTATGGACCACACTGACTTTGAGTTAAGCCTGGAGTGCTAGCAAGAGGATGCCCACCTAACCGCATGAAGGGAAAGCACATTTGTTTCTACCCATACCCCCACAAGGGCACCCAGCGACTATCAGGGAAAAAGTGCCATCTTAATAACCCAAGTAGAGGCTGTAGTGGCTCACCTGCATGCCAACTAAGGGATTTTATCAGAGGGATAGATACACAGTCCCCACTTTGAGTCTGGTTGGAGCGTTGGCAGGAAGTTGGGCACACAATTAGGACTATGAGGAGCTCCCATTACCCGACTCTATCACAGGCACCCACACTCAAACTGCCAAGGCAGAGCACCCATAGGCAGCTAAAACTGGGAATTCCTCTGCCTTCTTTCTATGCAGGCTCCTGAGGCTGAGAATAGATCCCCTGTACCCTGTGACTACAAGAGTGTTGTGCACTATGACTGTGAGAATTATGTGACTGCAGAATAGGGCATGGGGGTAGCTGGATCTCTAGGCAATCACTGTGTCTGGCTTCAGAGGTTCAGAGTTCCTGAGTGCCTGGGGTAGGTCATTGCAGAGGGTTTTGTGCTCACACTGAGGACCACACAGATCTTTTGTGTGGTTCATGTGCCTGCATGGATGGTGTATGTAGCCACTGTGGCTACATACATACATGTGCCCAGGCATTGATTGCCTTGGCAAAAGGAGGTAAGGCTGTGATTTTGAGAGCCATTGTGATTATACTCTCACCACTGCTAACAATACAGGAGATCAACCACACCTAACTTGGGTGTCACACTGGACTCTTGCTTCACCCTTGAGCACCACACATGCCTGTGGATATCCAGTGAAGAAACAGACAGTCCACTAAGCCAGAGATATAGTTCAACGATAAAAGCCACCAGAGGAGAAAACCAACAAGCGTTTCTACAAATGCCTAAAAATAAACCGAGAAATACTGTTAACAACAAGGAAGACACTATGATTCCCCTAAAGGAACAAAACACTTAAATATTAGAATGTGAAGATGAAGAGATTGACAAAATGCCTGAAAAGGAATTCAAAAAAATATTACTCAAAACATTGAAAAAAATAGATGAGATAAAGAAATTTATACATAACATGGATGAAAAATTTTGTCAAGTGATAGTGAGGAGAAATCAAACTGAAATATTAGAAATGAAGAAATCAGTATGTCAAATAGAAAATACAGTGGAAAACCTTAACAGACTTGGTGAGGGAGAAGAAAGAATATCTGAGCAAGAAGATAAATCCTTGAAAATATCTCAGACAAAAAGGAAGAAAAAATTAGAAAAACTGAAAATATTCAAGTTGTTAATGTTCAAGATCTATAGGATACTATTAAAAAAAAATACATGTCTCAGGAGTTCCTGAAGTTGTGGAAATAGAGAATGGATTAGAAGGCCTATTCAGTGCAAAACTTCCCTAATTTGGAGAAAGAAAAGGACATTCAAGCAGAGGAATCACACATAGCTCCTAATAGACATGATCAAAAAAGAACTTCACCAAGAAACATTATTGTCAAACTTTCAACAGTGAAACATAAAGAAAAGATTCTAAATGTGCACAAGAAATACACAAGATTACCTTCAGAGGATGTCCAGTTGGACTAACAGTTGATTTCTCATCAGAAACCCTACAGGCTAGACAGAGAATGGAGAGACATAGACCAAGTCCTAAAAGAAAAAAACTACCAAGAATACTATACCCAGCAAAGCTCTCATTTATAGATGAAGATGAAGTAAAGACCTTCCAAACTTGAAAGAATCTGTCACTATTCATCCAGCCTTACAAATGATCCTTAAAGATGTGTCACACACAGAAACAGAGAACAACTGTCATCAGTATGAAAACATGTGAAGGCAGAAAAACTCCTAGTAGAAGCACAAAGAAAATCCAAAGATAGCAATGGAATATTTATGGAAAACCTTAAATATAAATGGCCTAAATTCTTCAATTAAAAGATACAGATGGCCTGAATGGATTAAAAAACAAGACTCATATATTTGCTGCCTACACGAAATACACCTCACCAACAAAGATACACACTGACTGAAAATCAAAGGATGGAAAAAGATACCCCATGCTAACGGAAAGCAAAAATGAGCAGGTGTAGTCATCCTAATATCAGAGAAAATAGATTTTAACACAGCAACTCTTAAAAGAGATAAAGGAGGGCTTTATGTAATGATTAAGGGATCACTTCAACAAGAAGATGTAACTACAGTAAATGCATATGCACCCAATGCCAGGGCACCTGGCTATTTAAAACAAATGTTAATAGATCTAACTCTACAGTTTGGGGCAAGTCAGCTTGAGCATGTCCCAAATTGTACATCTCTTCCCTCTCTTATTCCCACTCCTATATTTAACAGTTTCAACACTTAAGTTTCAACACTTATTTAAGTTTCAACACTTAAGAATAACTGTGCATTAATTACAGAATTCAACCAATAGTATTAAGTAGAACAAACAAACAAATACAGACTCATAGAATGGCGGATATCCTAAATAGCACTCTGGCCTCAGAATCAGCCCTTAAGGCATTCAGATCCGGTTGAAAAGCCCATGAGAGTATTTCAGGCATGGAAAGCCAAGACATTCTGGCAAAAAAAAAAAAAAAAACAACAACAAACAACTAACTAACTAAATGAAAGATCTCTGCGAGTGAGATCCAGTGGAAAGAACAAGTCATCAAAGAAGGAGGTACCTTTCTCTGAAGGGAGGAGAGAACTTCCACTTTGACTATGACCTTGTCTAAATATGATCAGAGTCGGAGAACTCAAAAGGCTTCCATAGCCTTGGCAACTCATGACAAGAGCCTAGGGTGATTACTGATGCCATAAACAAGAGTGTCAATTTGTTAAGTCAACAACAGGAGTCACAGTGCACTTACTCCTCATGTAGGATCTCTGTCCTTAATGTGCTGTACATTGTGTTTTAATGCTATAACTAGTACTCAAATAGTACTTTACACTTTGTGTTTCTGTGTGGGTGCAACTATTGAAATCTTTACTTAATATATGCTAAACTGATCTTCTGTATATAAAGAGAATTGAAAATGAATCTTGATGTGAATGGAAGGGGAGAGGGAGCAGGAAATGGAAGGGTTGCGGATGGGAGGGAAGTTATGGGGAGGGGGAAGCCATTGTAATCCATAAGGTGTACTTTGGAAATTTATATTCATTAAATAAAAGTTAAAAAAAAAAGAAAAAAAGTTAATAGATCTAAAGGGAGACATAGACTCCAATACAATAGTAACAGGGGGACTTCAACACCCAACTTTCATCAATGGATGGATCAACTAGACAGAAAATCAACAAGGAAACAACAGAACTAATCTACACAATCAATCAAATGGACCTAATTGACATCCACAGAATATTTCATCCCACAGCTTCAGAATACACATTCTTCTCATCAGTGCATGGAACTTTCTCTAGGATAGATCATACTTTATGCCATAAAACAAGTCTCAACAAATTCAAAAAAATTAAAATCATACCATGTATCTTTTCTAACCACAATGGAATGAAGCTGGAAATTAACAACTGAGGAATCTTAAGAAAAATATGCAAACAAATGGAGACAGAACAACATTCTCCTGAATGAACAGTAAGAAGAAATCAAAAGGGAAATCAAAAAATTGCTAGAAACAAAGATGACAACACAACATATGAAAACTAATGGAATACAGCAAAAGCTGTGTTGAGAGGGAAGTTTATAGCAGTTAGTGCCTACATCAAGAAATTGGAAAGGCATCCAATAAATATTCTAACAATGTATCTCAAGGACCTAGAAAAACAAAATAAGCCAAACCAAAAGTAAGTAGCAGGAAAGAAATAAACAGAAGAAATAAAACTGAAACAAAAAATAGTTACCAAAAAAATCAGAGAGATGAAGAGCTGGTTTTTTGAAAAAATAAACAAAATTGATACATCACTGGCTTAATGAACCAAAAGGGGTTGGTGGGGACAGATAGAAGACCCAAAATAATAAAATCAGAGATGAAAAAGATACAACAGCAGATTCCACAGGGAAAAAAAGAATCATCAGGAATTACCATAAACAATTATATGCCAATAAATTGGAAAAATCTAGAAGAAATAGATTTCCAGACACACAGTATCTACCAAAATTGAGATCTGAATCATGAAGACATAGAAAACCTGAATAGTCCAATAACCAAGACACAGACTGAAACAATAACAAAAACCCTCCCAACAAAGAAAAGCTCAGGACTAGATGGCTCACTGTTGAATTCTCCCAAACCTTTAAAGAAGAACTAATTCTAACTCTTAAACTATTCCAAACAACTTAAAGGGAGGGAATCCTCCCAAACTTCTTCTTTAAAGCATCACCTTAATTTCAAAAACAGAAAATATACAACAAAGAAAGGTAACTACAGACCAATATCCCTGAGGAACATAGATGCAAAAATCCTCAACAAAATACAAGGTAATCAAATCCAACAATACATCAGAAACATCATTCACCCAGACTAACTGGGATTTACCCCTGCTATGCAGAGATGGTTTAACATATGCAAATCAAGAAATGTGATATATCACATTCATAACATTAAGAATAAAAACCACATGACATTATCTCAATAGATGCAAAGAAAGCTTTTGATGAAATATAGCATCTTTTCATCTTAAAAAAAATTTAACCAAGTTGGGTGTAGAAGGAACATTCTTCAACACAATCAAGACAAATCCACAGCCAGCATCATACTTTCACCACTGCTGTTCAATATAGTTCTGGAAGTTTAGCCAGAGCCATTAGGCAAGAAAAAGAAATCAAAGGGATAGAAATTGGAAAGGAAGAAGTCAAATTATCCTTGTTTGAAGACGACATGATCCTATATATATAGGGACTAAAAGACTACACTAAGAGACTACTGGAATTCATAGCAGAGTTCACTAAAGTTGCAGGATATAAAATCAATACCACCTATGTTTTCCTGTTAACCTAAGTATTCAACATTTGTACCCTCTTTTGCAAGTTCCAAAAAATAAGTTTCTAAACTTTTCAGTTTTCTCTATTAAGGAAGTTCCATGACAGATAAAAAACTACAAATTAAGGGCAGGCATTTGGCACAGCAGTGAAGATGTCACTTGGGAAGCCTCATACCATATCAGAGTGCATGGATCAAGTGCTGACTCCTGTGCTTCTGATCTAGTTTCCTTCTAATGCACAAGCTAGGACACAAGAGATGATGGCTCAAGTACTTGAGTCCCTGTCATCCCCATGGGAGATCAACATTGGGTTCTAGGCTCCTAGTTCTTAGGAACTATCCCTAGTATTCAGTAGAAGGTTGAATACAGTGTGATAGTTTACTAAGTCTGTTTGCTTAAATGTCTTCCTTTAAGAACAGCAGGGATATCTGTTGTATTTAAAATGTTATTTGCCTAAATATATACATGGGACACATAATTGCAAAAATGTGATTATCTTACATCTAATTTATTTACAATCTGCAGTGATGAGTCAGGAATATAAAATCATTTGGGAAGCATTACTGACTTTCTGCTAATTTACAAATACACAGAAAGTTAATCTTTTTAGGCTATGGTGTAGTGGGTAGGTTGCCACCTGCAGTACTGGCATCCCATAAGGCCGCCAGTTCAAGTCCTGGCTGCTCCACTTCCAATCCAGCATTCTACTATGGCCTGGAAAACAGTAGAAGATGGCCCAAGTCTTTGGGCCTATGCACCCGTGTGGGAGACCTGGAAGAAGCTCCTGGCTCCTGGCTTTGGACTGGCACAGCTCCAACCACTGCGGCCAACTGGGGAGTGAACCAGTGGATAGAAGACCTCTCTCTTTGCCTCTCTTTCTCTCTGTAACTCTTTCAAATACATAAATAAATCCTAAAAAATAAAGTTAATCTTTTCAAGTTTAGCTTAGTATAAAACTTTGAAACTATAACCAAATAAGCATTTCACCTGAAAACGAAGAAAATTCTTGTATAATTCTTGCTGTTTAATCTGAAGCTCAGTAGGAGGCTCACCAAAAATATTTCCCCGAGCAAAAGGAGAGCTCTGTGTTTGCATATGACCTGGAAAAAGACATTTTGTAAAAAAAAAAAAAAAAAAAAAATTAGACAATTTTTTAGAAAATGTAAAAGTTAAAGAATGAATAGTTTCCTAATATATTCACATTTTCAAAATTGTGCTAAATACAGAAGCTGAGGTTAAAATCAGAAGAGGAAAGATAAAGATGAGACAAAAAGCAACAATAGTAAGAAAAATAGTAAGACTAAAATGAAATTAAAGGACAAATCATATTATAATGCCTAAAAGACACTAATGAAATATAAAAGCTAACAGCCCAAATAATTCTTATTGCATCAAAGACTTTAATGCAAAATTAATGAGTAAAAGTATATAAATTTATATGTATATAAATGTTTTAAGACCACTGCTTCATCATATATTAAAAATGTACTATATAGAACATATATTTTCAAACCCCTAAAATTGTTTTTAAAAATTGGTAATTCCAAAATTCTTCCCATCCATAGTTTTTTATAGGTAAGAAAGTCAGTTATAAAAACATTCTTTAAAAATTAGTATGAGTCTTAATAATAGTTTTTGTTTTAAAAATTATAAAAAGGGATATAAACATGAACAATAGAAAATATTATGATAGCTCTAAATAGAGGAGAAAAATCATTTCATAAAAGCAATTTGAAATACAATTATATCCTAAGAATCTCTTTGAACATAGGAAAAAAAGGCATTTGTATCCCGTCTTGATGTATTTTTAAATTATTTGTAAGTTACTGACTCCTTCCTTACACCATGAGTATAGCACATATATTTCTCTCAAGTACTATTGTGGAGGCAGATTACTTTGGAGGTTAGCTGCCATTCAGATAAATTTGCCTCTGTATTTAAATTAAGACTGTTTATTTGAAGAGATCACTAGGAAGCTAAATCAATACTTAATCATTATAAATATTTCTTTTTATTAGAAAATTTTCCTACTGAAACAAACTAAACATACGTATTAAAGGTTTTTTTTTTTAAATCTTGTTCTGTGGTACAGAAGCTGATTAGCAATAGAAAATTAAGTGGTATCTATCACCTTTGATATTCTAAACCTTTTGGGCAATTAGAGAAGAAATATTAATAGAGACAGACAAGATAAATCCTTCAGAAATAAGTAGACCATAAGATAAAACCATAGGGAAATACTTGTTATATGCAAGGAAAACAGATATATCTAGGCATCATATAAGCCAAAAATAAATCTAAGCCAAATTAGTATTTAACTTCATAAGCAGTAGCTCACCTAAGGACCAAAAAGCAAAAATAAAAACAAAAACAATGTTAAAGACCTTGAAAACATGCCTAACAAAGACAATACACTGTAAGATAATGAACCTTAAACACATTATAGCATTCAATTTTCAGACAGATTCAAGTTCTCTAAGACTTTTAAAATAGTAAAGGTCATATATGTGTGGTTTATATGTATATATGTGTGTGTGTGTATATACACACACACACACACATCCACACAAATATGTATATGCCACAGTGAAAATTAAGTAGCTATGGATAGTTTTTTGCATTCAGAAAGTTTATTTTAGGTTAATTCTTAGGGGAAAAAGTCTAATTTAGGGAATTTCAATTCACAAAGAACATTTGGACATTCTATTATTTTTCTTAATGATAACTTAAAATGGAGATTCCTAGCAATCCCATCAGTATAGAAATCTGATGGTGGTACAGAAGACTATAGACAACAAACTTTGCTGTGAATATTCAATGATTAAATGTAAGCTATTTAAAATGGATCATGAAAACTTAATTTTCCACTATTTCTGCTTGGTGAGCAGAGTTAGATGCCTAAACGTTATTACTAGGATAGGCTGAGATGGAACCATAAATAATACTGGCAATGGAAAAAAAAAAAAGCATACAAAAGGAGCCTATGGCACTGAGGTCAAAACACAGATAACTAGAAGCAAAAACACAGACAACTAGAAGCACCAGCAAATAAAAATAACCACAAAGAAACCAAAATTCTCTTGGCAGCAATATGAAAAAGTGTTGTGATATTCCTACTGCATAGTGAATTGTTCCAAATTAAGAAACCAAGGTTAATAATTTTATCAAAATCAAAGGTTTTTGTATGCCAAAAAATCAAAACTAGATCCAATGTGTAAAAATCCAACATGGTCAAAGCAAGAAAGCATTTTCCAATAATTAGAGATCAAAAATGGAACACCTGTCCACACGGGAACAGCAAGCAATTCATTTCCTAAATTGTTCAAAAGGGCAACAGAGATTAATGGTACCATTAAAGGCTTAGAAGATGCAGGGCTAGTGACTCTAATCACAACTCCCCACTTAATCCATCTATTAAGACAGTAAGCAGGTACATGGATTTAAAAAAAAAAAGAAGAATATTAGGAATATTTTAGAACTTCCAACTATAAAGTTCCTTTCTAGTCTAAAATCAAAACTTCTGTGAAATACAAAAGCAGAATTTTGTAGTAAGTATTTCTTTTTAAAGGCATCAAAATATAGTGCAAGGTGCTATTTTCTCCAAACTTCCTTTGATTTTGAAATACGTAACATACTTCCACATATATTGGACAAAGAAAGATGATGACAATTTTTTCTGGCAAATCATAAGAACGAAAAATTTTCAACTTATAAAATCTTTAAATTTCTGTTAAATAACATCCTTTAAGATTCTATAAAGACATCTTATTAAGAAAGAAGGATGCAATCAGTTACATTAAACTTTCTTTTTTTTTTTTTTTTTTTTTTTTTTTTTTTTTTTTTTGACAGGCAGAGTGGACAGTGAGAGAGAGAGACAGAGAGAGAAAGGTCTTCCTTTTGCCGTTGGTTCACCCTCCAATGGCCGCCGCTGCAGCCGGCGCACCGTGCTGATCCGATGGCAGGAGCCAGGATCCAGGTGCTTTTCCTGGTCTCCCATGGGGTGCAGGGCCCAAGCACCTGGGCCATCCTCCACTGCACTCCCTGGCCATAGCAGAGAGCTGGCCTGGAAGAGGGGCAACCGGGACAGAATCCGGCGCCCCAACCGGGACTAGAACCCGGTGTGCCGGCGCCGCAAGGTGGAGGATTAGCCTATTGAGCCACGGCGCCGGCTTTAAACTTTCAATTATTTCATTTCTTTGTGGTTTTTTTGAGTCAGAGTAAATAATTACACTCATACCATTTCACTAATTCAGTTATGGGTGAGAAGCAAACTATGTATGTGTTTAGAGAGTATTTGGTTTTAAGAAATGACTCCTGATTAGCAAGACAAAAAGGCTAGCTAAAGCTAAAATATAAACTTGGCAAGTTACAAAGCTGAGAAGAAATAGGCAGAATTAAGAAACCTTTTCCTATTTCTTTCTTTCAAAATAACTGAAGGAAAGGCATTGTAAACAGCTATGAATAATGTGTAAATGCTTCTTGATTCACAGTAACCAAATTCTCAAAATCACAATAGGAACTGTGTCAAAGAACAAAAAAGAAATGTTACTGAACAACTTTAGAAACGCAAAAAATAAAATGATTAAAAACCTGAGTTTTTATTTGCAGAATCTTCTAGGTTCTCAGCATTTGAAGTGGCTAAATTTTGGTCTAGAGATACAACAGCCCTTTTATCTTCGTATGTTCTTGCATCTGGGTTATGGTAGGCATCTATATTTTGTCTGTGCATCCTATTCAAATCAGCTGAGAGGGAAAAATAAGCCATTTATTTCAATAAACATATTTCTATAATTGGTATGCTTAACATATTTTTTGAATTAGGGAGTCAGAGGAAAAAGCAGTAAGACAGAGCTGGGAATAATTCAATGATATGTTGGTACCCTGAAAACAGAAACAATATTATCAAAATGTTTAGAATTTTCAAAAAACCCTGCGAAATAAATTCAAATCAGTAGAGAAATTAAGGACACATAAATCTGATAACCCATAAAAACCATATCAACATTATCAGTTACTTCAGAAATTGAGATCTTTTAAATATAGAACAAATACAGCAGGAATTAAAAAAAATCTAATGAAATTTACCCTACAACACCCATTCTCCTAATGAAAATACATGATTACATGGAATGTTTTAAAACACATACACAAATTCTTTGACAGTCCTGTCTCAAAAAGTAGAGCTCAATTATCTTCCCTTTCACTGTAGTCCAGAGTTAGTCGCTCATTTCTTATATCTAGGATTCTGCAAAAATGATAATATAGAACTTCTGAGTCGACTTCACAAAAGGCATTGTTTCCATCCAGTTTGACCTATGGATCATCTGCTTCATGGAAAGCCAACTGCCATAACATAAAGACAGTGAGGGAGCCCTATGTAAAGGCCCATATGGCATGGAACTAGTATCTCCCAAGCCACAGGAGGGAGCCATATTGCAATGGGTTCTTTTTTAAAAAAAATTTTTTTTAAAGATTTAATTATTTATTTGAAAGGTAGAGTTACAGAGAGTGAGAGGGAGGGAGGGAGGGAGAGAGAGAGAGAGAATGAGAATATCTTCCATCTGCTAGTTCACTCACCAAATGGCTGCAATGGCCAAATTGGCCCAGGCTGAAGCCAAGAGCCTGAAACTCCATCCAGGTCTCCCATGTGGGTGGCAGGGGCCCAAGCACTTAGACCACCTTCTGCTGCTTTCCCAGGCACATTATCAGGAAGCTGGATCAGAAGCAGAGTGGCTGGGACTCAAATGGGTGCCTATATAGGATGCTGATGACACAAGCAGTGGCTTAACCCACTGCACCACAATGCTGGACCCATAAATGAATTCTTGAGTACACACCAAGTCTTCAGATGACTACAGTCCTGGCCAACATCTTAGACTGTAACCTCAGGAGAGACGATGAGGTTGAAATATCCACACAGCTAAGCTACTCATAAATTACCCACAGAACTGCAAGGCAGTGTTTTATTATTTTAAAACACAAAGTTTTGGGGTAATTTGATATACATAGGGAAACTCTACACACCTAGAACTAAGTTTGTCAATCTCAAAACATAATTAAATGACTGAAGAAAAATGCTTTACAAAATAAAAACCTAACTATTCTACACAAACACACAAATACCCACAAAAAACGAAAAAACTACAAAAACATAAAACAACCCTGGGACAGTATGGCTGCAAGAAAAGTAAATTTAAGTCAATATAAGGATTTATCAAGAAATTCTGTATTTTCAAGGATGTACTTCGAACACAACTCACAATTAGAAAATTAGTTAGAACATGGCAAGTAACATCTGACTGTTACAAAAGAGAACCAGAGTTCAGATTCAAAAAAGTTCACATCCTATGATAACATTTAGGGAAACTTAGACTCAGAAAATGAGTAACAGCGTCAAAGGTGAAGCATGGAAAAAACATAATAAAAATGTGAGAAAACCATCCAAGAAGTAAAACATTAGGAGTGTCTGCAACATTAATTTTTCTCTGAATCTTGAGATAAATTCTATATGTGTGCTTATTCAACTATGATTTTTTACAATCTTTTATTTTAAAAAACTTGTACAAATCTTTCCATGCTAATAAGAATCAAAATTTCTCTATAAATTTTGTAAATTATCCATTTATAATTGTTTTGTAATTTTCTATATTTAAGCAATAGTTATAAAGTGAAATTTCCTAGGACTGGAATTTATTAAGAACAGACTACCTCAGTTTTAAGTGTGACATCAACTTCTAAAATCATAGTCAATTAGCAAATCAGTTTGCCTTTGCAGTATCAAGAACTTGATGGTTTGAAATCAAACAATACGCAGCCAGCGCCATGGCTCACTAGGCTAATCCTCCGCCTTGTGGCGCCGGCACACCAGGTTTTAGTCCCGGTCGGGGTGCCGGCTTCTATCCCGGTTGCCCCTCTTCCAGGCCCGCTCTCTGCTGTGGCCCGGGAGTGCAGTGGAGGCACCCCATGGGAGACCAGGAGAAGTATCTGGCTCCTGCCATCGGATCAGCGCGGTGCGCCGGCCGCAGTGTGCCGGCCACGGCGGCGGCCATTGGAGGGTGGACCAATGGCAAAGGAAGACCTTTCTCTCTGTCTCTCTCTCTCACTGTCCACTCTGCCTGTCAAAAAAAAAAAAAAAAGAAAAGAAAAGAAATCAAACAACACGCTGTTAAAATCTGTGCTTAAAATGGAGTTGGTCTTCTGTATATAAAATCAAACTAAAAATGAACCATAATGAAAAAAGGGATGGGAGAGGGAGAGGGAGAAGGAATTAGAGTCGGGGTGGGAGGGTGGGTATGGGAGAAAGAACCACTATATTTCTAAAGTTGTACCTATGAAAAATGCATTCATTAAATAAAAACTTTAAAAAAAAGAAATCGAACAATAATTATTTCCTTAAAAAAAGGAAAAGAAAAAGAGTATTCTGGCAACAAAACAGTCCAGTTTGATAGGAACACAGAGTACATGTAATAAAGCAGCAAGACATGTAATACAAAACAGTACACTGGATGCCTATGATAAAATACTCTAAAATGCATGCTAATGGCTCTCAATTTTGCTGAACACAATTTTGGTAGTCACAGAAGTATTAGTAACAATGGCAACCAATATTTAACGTTCACCATTTTCATATACTATACAATAAACTATATGATACTACTATTTCCATCCAAGAACTATATATGGAAAATTAATGGGCCGGCACTGTGGCATAGCAGGTAAAGCCACTGCCTGCAGTGCTCACATCCCTTATGGGCGCCAGTTCTAGTCCCAGCTGCTCCACTTCCTATCCAGCTCTCTACTATGGCCTAGGAAAGCAGTAGAAGATGGTTCAGGTCCTTGGGCCCCTGCACCCGCATGGGAGACCCGTAAGAAGTTCCTAGCTCCTAGCTTTGGATTGGAAAAGCTCTGGCTGTTTTGGCAAATTGGGGAGTGAACCAGTGGATGGAAGACCTCTCTCTCTCTCTCTCTCTCTCTCTCTGCCTCCTCCTTCTCTCTCTGTGTAACTCTGACTTTCAAGTAAAATGAATAGATCTTAAAAAAAATTTTTTTTTAAACTAAATTAATTAGCTCAAAGACCACAAAGCACAGCAGGAATATAAACTCAGGCAATAAGACATCGGAGTCCTCAATGATTTTTGAGTATGGAATACATATAATTAGTTAGGATTTTGGTATATGTATGTGAAAAATGAAGAAAATCTACAAAGAAGTAATGAAGATATAGCAACAATCCAAGCAAACATAATATTATGGTGGGGCCAGCGTTGTATCGTAGCGGAGCAGGTAAAGCCGCCACCTGCAATCCCAGCATCCCTTATGGGCGCTGGTTCGAATTCCAGCTGCTCTACTTTCGATCTAGCTCTCTGCTGTGGTCTGGGAAAGCAGTAGAAGATGGCCCAAGTCCCTGGGCCCCTGCACCTGCGTGGGAGACCCGGAAGAAGCTCCTGGCTCCTGGCTTCGGATTGGCACAGCTCCAGCCGTTGCAGCCAATTTGGGGAGTGAGCCAGCAGATGAAATACCTCTCGGCCAGCGCCGTGGCTCAATAGGCTAATCCTCCGCCTGCGGCTCTGGCACACCAGGTTATAGTCCCAGTCAGGGCACCGGATTCTGTCCCGGTTGCTCCTCTTCCAGTCCAGCTCTCTGCTGTGGCCTGGGAGTGCAGTGGAGGATGGCCCAAGTCCTTGGGCCCTGCATCCTCATGGGAGACCAGGAAAAGCATCTGGCTCCTGGCTTCGGATCAGTGCGGTGTGCCGGCCACAGCACACCGGCCGCAGCAGCCATTAAGGGGTGAACTAACAGAAAAGGAAGACCTTTCTCTGTCTCTTTCTCACTGTCCACTCTGCCTGTTTAAAAAAAAAAAAAAAAAAGGCCGGCGCCGCGGCTCACTAGGCTAATCCTCCGCCTAGCGGTGCCGGCACACTGGGTTCTAGTCCCGGTGGGGGCGCCGGATTCTGTCCCGGTTGCCCCTCTTCCAGGCCAGCCCTCTGCTGTGGCCAGGGAGTGCAGTGGAGGATGGCCCAGGTGCTTGGGCCCTGCACCCCATGGGAGACCAGGAAAAAGCACCTGGCTCCTGGCTCCTGCCATCGGATCAGCACGGTGTGCTGGCCGCGGCGGCCATTGGAGGGTGAACCAACGGCAAAGGAAGACCTTTCTCTCTGTCTCTCTCTCTCTCACTGTCCACTCTGTCTGTCAAAAAAAAAAAAAAAAATACCTCTCTCTCTCTCTCTGCCTCTCCTCTCTTTGTGTAACTCTTTCAAATAAATAAATAAATCTTAAAAAATAAAAAATTAATATTATAGTATGAATAAAAATGAAAGAATTTAAGAGACAATGAAGAGGGAAAATCTATATTGATTGGATATAGGGAATTTTAGAAATGCTATTTTTGGTTTGAATAATCAAAATTACGCCTTCAACAGAAAAAAGGCAAAAAACATGATCTTGATTTTAAGAGTTTTGGCTGGAGCCGTGGCTCACTAGGTTAATCCTCCACCTGCGGCACCGGCACCCTGGGTTCTAGTCCTGGTCAGGGTGCCAGATTCTGTCCCGGTTGCTCCTCTTCCAGTCCAGCTCTCTGCTGTGGCCCGGGAGGGCAGTGGAGGATGGCCCAGGTCCTTGGGCCCTGCACCCACCTGGGAGACCAGGAGGAAGCACCTGGCTCCTGGCTTTGGATCGGCGCAGCATGCCGGCCACAACACGCCGGCCAGAGCAGCCACTTGGGGGTGAACCAACAGAAAAAGGAA